TCATTTGGATCCGGTTTCCGCTGCTCCTGCTGCTGATCCAGATACTTGCAATCCTAATAATCGTAATGATACAACTAAGTGCTACTGCCGGCAATGTAGCGATGTTGCGGCGTTAAGTACAGGTAAATCACAACTAACAATTAGTTTTTTTTTAATTTATCTCTAATTCATTTTTTATTAACTCTGCATGTAAAGCAGTACGAGCTAAGGAAATGATAAAAATATTTTAACCTGGAGATGAGTTAACGCAACTTCAGCCCACTTGAAAGAAGTTCAAAATACACCTAAGATTTTCCAGTTTGTCTTTATTTGTTTTGGTGAGGTTTCACGCCTGACTTTCTGAGTTTGGAAAAGGGAGATAGACGGCCAGACATCAGATTTGAATACTTATCTTCGATGAGCTGGTGTCCAATATTTTTTTAGAACCTCTCCACATTTAAGTAAAAATATATGTATTTTATTTAATTTATATAATTGTAATGTTACCAATATCGTATCAATTCTGAATACATTTTTTTATTTCCGATATCGGCAAATCTATATGCCTTGCAGAACATAAACGAGACAAGGATGTACGTGCGACCCGGAAAAAGATAGCAGCAGAAAAAAATGGCCTTATTTACAACTGTTAGATCAAACAACTTCGAATGAACGCACAGTACATACTTCGTCATATTCCAAAGCCACTCTAAGTTCCGGAAGTCACTTCCTCAAGAAGCAGTTTCCCTTTCTTGAGTAAATATTTCTCTTTTTTTTATCGTCATGAGAGATAGTAATTAACATTTGTGGAACTTCTGGCGGAACGCAACATGAGCTATTCATGAACTGTATTTAATCATCAAACTCCATGTACTTTACATATGTGATATATAGCTTAACACAAAGCTTAAATCTTTAACTTTCAGGTCATATTTATTTAATAAAGGTGACGTGTGTCCGACTTAAGATGGCACAACAGATACACAAGGACTTTGAGAGGAGCCAAAACTTCCTTCCAGTGGAACTCGCCCAATTGTCCCATTAAACACAACGTATGGATACGAATCTGACTACAGCTTTTGCTGTAAATATCTTTAATATTTACTGCCATATCTGCGATATTATCTAAACACTTCGCCAAGAAAAAATACGACAACAACCGCAAAATAAAGATGCCTACAAGGAAGTGCATTGGTGAAGTAAATTGCTACCTCTATTTACCTTTCCGACTATGGAGTATCACGAGTCTAAAATAAACGTTTCCAGGTTTTTGTTTAGTACTTTTTCGGCGACTGGCCACTTCCAACACAACTTCAACGCCCTCTCTTGAACCTAGATTACCTCAAAGGTTTTAACTAATAAAAAAAAATGGGTTACATTAAACGCTACACTGTAAAGGGAAGAGTCCTAAGAGCATGAGTGAGGCTAAACGTACAAGATTCATGACTTAAAAGGAATGAAACAAAACTGTTCATTTTTCAGTTGTGGATTTTTCAGTTTGTTATCACAGGTTAACGTACGGCATTATTCTCTATCTTTATTTATTTCGTATTTATTCGTTTCTTTCTACTCAATTAGGAGTATCTTTTAATTTTATTTTTTAATTTTAATTTTTAATCTTTAATCTTTTGTATAAAATATAATCTCCCACTCTTGCAGAAAACCGTTATTATTCGGTCATTGTTTTACGTCGGGTCAAGGCTCTAAAGAGAGAAGTTCCAGATAAAAAAAAAAAGTGCATTTTCCACATCTTTTCTAGTTTACTTTTTGGCGAGATCAAAAGCTGACAAAGCAGTACAGAATCACGAGAAGTTTAAAGAATGAATCTTAGATTTAAAATGCGCACATTATCCAGAGTTGATGAACGTTTCGGATAACAAGCAACTTGTTGACTGGGGCTAAACTGCGGATACTAGAAGATCGTTAGGCGTTTTAACTGTATGTAACTTTGCTACGAATTAGAAGGAGGAGGAAAAGGCCGTGAACTGGGTGAAGTGTACAAAAAACAGCGTTTTCTCATTAACCTCAAATATCTCATCTGGTAGTGTAAAACGTGCATCCATCATAATAGAGATCTGCATAGGGTTGTTACGAGTTACGAAAAGCGGTGTCTCTACGTCGGTTAGAACCGAAAGGTATAAGCAGCTCCCGGAGATACGTCTAGGCCCAGGGCCTGCAAAAATTCGAGAGAGAGGTTTTTCCGCATTCGTTGTATTGCCCAGGCCTTATACATGCATGCGGATTACCGTCTACTCCGATAGCTAGCAATATTGTATAAATAATTTTACAATAGTTGTATTTACTATTATTGCATCAATAGTATACTATATGACTGTAATAACTTTTTATTGTTATATACATTGTTGTACAAATCTCGTCACGCTCTAGTGCTCTTTAAGGATAAAAAAAGACTAGCGTCCGCACTGTCTGGTATATGCGTAGTGTTTTGCAGTATTTAGTTAAATGTAAGACGCCAACGTCACTGTGTCCACGTCGAGATGAAGACCTTATTTGGCTATACTTTACAGCAGAAAGCTGGGCTTTGTTTTATATGTGCTACCTTAGTGTACTGTGCACTATTATCATTGTCATGCGTGGCAGTTCCACGTCACTAATTCATCGTTAGATCGACGAAAACAACTTGCTAAGTCCACTTTACCCTGTACCGGATCAGCAAAAACGAGTGCTATAAATGGAACGACAGTATTTTTTCACTGTCGTTCTATTTATCCGTTCACCTCTCAACCCACGAGAAAACCTAACCCTTGGTAATACACTCATGTACCTTCTGAGAAAACGGAAAAAAGTAATCTACCGTATAGTCTATTAAAATAAACCAGGCAAACAATGGATATTGTATACAACAGTACAAAAAGAATGACCTGTAGAATACAATAATTCGATCATTTCAATTTCCTACAATGCCTATTTGAGACCCTGTTGGGGGTATTTTGAGAGACGTTTGCTCTGTTTTTACCTCCAAATCGTTTACCTGTATTACAGGTGTACCATATTTTTTAATACCAACGATATCCGGTTTTCAAAGCATGAGTTCTTACGTTTGTGTTCGACATTGCTGTCCATAGACAGCAAGTTCTATTGGAAGAGTCTGTCCGTGTGATCATCTGTTATTGTCATTGCCTGGTGTTTATATCACTCGCTGTCGTGCTTCTAAGGCGTACCTATGAATTATCTAGCAATCAGTCCACACGTCGCGTGAGAAGACGTTAGATGAAGCGATGCGCAACGGGGTGGACGCCCTAATAGGTAATGAGCTAATAATAGTAACAGAGAAGCCTAGAACGACGAATGACTGGGTCATCATAATAAGGATAACAACGGGCATTAGGCGATAAAGCAATACTAAGTGACATTTCCTTTCTACTGATGACAATATAAACCAGGAATTTGTGGTTGTTGTTCGATATAATATAGATGCACCCACGTACGTATGTTTCCTTTCTTCGGGCCGCCAGATTACTTATCTTCTTCCTTTTAGCAGCAAAATGCACTTGTTTTATTACTTTAATCAAGTATACTTGTTCGGAACGCCATTTGATTCTGATGTACACCCGACTAGTTGCTGTCGGTTGTCGCTTTATTGCAATACGTCCCTGATAGACATTTCTACAAGATGCGATCAAGATCATATTGATTAGTTGACTATGAATGAGACCAATCACTTGTGATCCGCTGTATTACGTGTTAGCAATGGTGTGCACTTCTTTCGTTTACGCTCTCAAAGAGAAAAAGCATGCTATTCAATTATACTGTTTTAAGATATTGTGATTATTTGGCTAGAACCAGAAAGCTATGAACGGCCGTGTTAATGTCGCATATGGCAAGTATTATGTGGGTAATAATAATGTAATAACGCAACAATTTTATGTGTATTAAAAACAAGTGCACAGAATATAAGCAAGGCGGCATACACGAAGTCATCCACTAAAGAAATAATCACGAACTATAGTTGAAATAGCAGAAAAGAATATCAGCGAATATCAGCGCAAAAGATGCGTCACATTCTCGTTATTCTACATATTTGTCTCATGGGCGACAGACAGTCACTGTGAACCTTTATAGGTACAGCTGCGGCGTATATCCAAAAGTCGAACGTTTTTCGGGGTCGTCGGTTCTTACACTAACTAAGCTAGCAATTCACCAAGAAGCTAATTACCGCTGATAGTAACCGAAAGAAGCCAACCACATTTTTGTGCACGCGTGTATGTGTGTGGCACCCCAATGATCTAAATCAAGTCAAACGGTTATGTCAAACCCCTTAGCAACAGATTACTTGGTATCAACTCCGAGCATTGTATGTCGCATTCTAAAATTAGCAACATATCCTAAAATCTGACCGAAAATACGTATTTATTGAGGAAGCGTATCTTTAACACTTGCTTCAGTCTTTTCTCTATCTGCGTTGGATCCGTTTGGTTGCTGATAATTTACTGTGTGGCTGCTATGATTCGGCGCACGACTCTTTGGTATACAAAATATGTACGATACGGTATATGTCTTTAGAACATACACTACATAATAAGTATACTATATTTTAACACATGACAAAAGTTGCCGTTTATCCGTTCTTACTCTCAAAATATATAGTGTATTTGAATATTAAAGATATTCGAAAATAGAAGTTCGGGCAGACGCCTGAATTTTAAATAGCTTTGTTAAAATTTTTAAGTGAAATACGTATCAGTATCTAGGGTTGAAAACGAAGCTAGTCCACTATTTTTTTCTTTAAGTAATTCTTAGTAGCATGAAGATTAGTTATTCAGACTAATCAAATATTTAGAGCTAAAAAACTATTTAGAAGTAGCGTTGTCTGGCCTTGCCGATGTAACCTCTAGCTAGTCAGCCTAATGGTGCTCAGCGATTCAAACTTCTCTTCCGACCATAGTATTACATTCTCATAAAGAATTATCATCTAACAGATCCTCTTAAGCGCGAGTGCCTCGAACTCGTCATCGTCATAGTTGCCTAATAATGTTTTTATGCTTCATCTTGTTTTACAGATCCCGGTAGATGACCTTATTCAATTAGAAGACCCGGAGGATGATCTAATTTTTGAGGACTTCGCACGGCTTCGGTTGAGAGGAGCGGAACCTGGCCAGAACGATACGCCCATATAGGCAGACAGCTAATTGCACAACCCTCGGGAAATTTGGTGAAGCTATGTGACTCCAAAACTTCTCTTTCTCTCAAGAAATTCAAAAACGGTTCAATGTACTGTCGAGATTTCACTTCACCTTTCGTCGGTATTATCACTTAATAGCCTCTTCATCTGTGGTACTCTTCGTGCTTCTCAAAGAAAGACATCTTCACTTAAACCGATCAATGTTAAATGTGGATGCACGCAAGTGCCAACGTTACACGCTACGCTCCCTGTAAACTATCTACCCCTAAGCGATGCGTGTGAAACTGGCCTGACTTTTGTTAGAGTTCACGGTTCACGGAAAACGTTGTGTCGGTGAGAGTAAAGTTGTTAGGTAGACTCCAATTAGCAAGCCGTAGATATCCATAATCACACCTGACACTGTTTAGCCGTTGACAATGTGTAGACACACACACACACGCACGCGCACATAAATATACATAATGTCGACGTACGTTTCCAATGAGTTATTTTTTTTTGTAAATGTGAGACCTTACAAAACTTTTAAATAATTTCTTCACATGCAAACGCACCGAATAATTATAATAGGAAATATGGTAATTATTTTAACGATGTCGAGTGAGCTGGATGGTGCAAGAGCTTCGTTTTATCCGAAACTAGAATTTTATGATTTTAACATAACGCCGCTTCAACAAGAGGGACAGAAGCAGGAAGACTGAATGCATGATGTTGCCTACCTATAATTATATAAATACATACGTGTTTTGCGCTGCATGTATATATATATATATATACAAATGGATCAATCAAACTCTATATGAAATATACACGATTTAAGTGCATTCTTACCAACCATGTTCAAATGAACAAAATTAGGATATGCACGCTTTAACGTGCACAACACCAACAGATCTGACCTACCTGTAAAAAAATAAACTAGGTAGAAAATGAGGTCATGATCAAGAAGAGGGCCAGGAACCAAGTGTTACATAATCGTCGTTGCCAGTCATCGTGTTTGTCATCAGACTAATAAAAGGTGGGCAACGAAATCAGCGAAAGGTGAACGCTGATTCGACGATGAATACATATGTAGATAGCTAAAAAAAAAGCTAACTAATGTTCATTTATGTAATATTCGGAAATGAAGTGCACATTATTCGTGCAGATATTCAATACGAACGTATTATGCTGTAATAATCATATTTGTGTTAGAAGAAAAGAAAGTCGAATGGAAATGGAATGACACTGCAATGAAGTGTTAGTTGAAAAGCTTTTGTCTTACAAATCTTATAATAATAATAATAATGACCCGTATTATTCTGTAAATTTTGAAATTATATATATATATATATATATATATATCAGGGAAGTAATGCTTAAATTAAGTGGAGAATAACATAATTTAGTAAACTACGATCAAATGGCTCGTGTTTTGCACTGTGCCCAACAACCGACATTATGACTATTAGCGTACGGGTTTAAACAAAGACAACACAGAAATCAAAGGAACGAGATTACGGTTGACATTAAATAGAAGATATTAGCTGTGTAGATGGAGTAACAGGTCGTCACGTGGTCGTTGTCGCTCTTGGTTGGCATTAGACCATGTTGAAATGATCTGGATTGGCCCACTTGCTTCCTAGCGTTGGCTAATGTATTTACAACAAAAATAATAACATGCATCCGGTAATATAATGTGTGTGAATGTGTGTGTGTGTAGATTGAAGTGTACATGTGCATACATTTGTTTATGAGCAGATAACTCGGCTGGGCTCTTTGCTCTGCTTTCAGTTTTTACCGTTTACAAAACTATAATCTGCGATCTTTTGATCATAAATAATTCCATAAAGTTCCAAAAAGAAAAAGATAAGAAAGCACGTTGTGTGAACCAGCGCTCAGGTATTATTGTGGTATGGACTAACAAAAATCAACGGCATCTATAGTATTTAAATTAGAACAAAAGACATTGACTTCGTGAAATTGACTCAAGTGATGCCACGGGAAGCCTGATATAAAGGAACATGTAAATAAAAAAAATGTCTACTTGAATTACGTCGCTAAAGACCACTCATATATTGTTTACGAATTCTATTTGTTACAACTGATACTTACCCACATATGACGCATTCTTTCTCTTTTCTCTCTCTCTTTCTCTATGTATATATATATGAGTGGGTTACAAAAATGAAGCTCTGTTCTTGCATTCCTTGCTTGGCTTCCTTGCATCTGCTATAAGTTAGTGAACAAGCTCTTCCGATACATTGCCCTTTTTTTGTGTTATCTTGTTTTTGCTTTCAAATAGTTTTACTGGCAGCGCTGTATGCTGAATAATCTACCGCTGTTCCTTTTAATCATCTACATCATAACAATGTCATATACAATGTACAGATTACTTTGGGTTATAATGCAAATATAAAGCTACGCTGAATTAAACAGTAAGTTAATTAAGTATTAAAAAAATCAACCTTATTCTTATTTTTAGAATTCAATAATAAACTAAATTGACGTAGGCCTCGGCTAAGGCATACGAGACACGTAGCAGACGATTTCTAGCTGAAACTTCTCGGCGCACGGGTTTTCTACTCTAAGACTCAGATGGGAGCGGAATGTCAGCGCGATTCGAGAGCACAGCAGTAGTGAAACAGATATATCAGGGCCTTATTTAGCCGTAATTACTTCAAAAGTCAACATCGATAAAACTTTATTATACATCACAGTAACCTCATTGAGAATACAGCTGCTTAAAAACAAAATCTTGTCCTTGTGCTTATAAAACAGTACCCTGTCTATATTCTCATAGGTGTTGCCAAATCGGTTTATCTGCTGACCCGTTGTCGTCTCATGTGCACTGCGGAATACGACATTTTTACGAATTTTCGAAAAAGCCCATTTTTAACCTCACTTTTGTTTAGTAGATTTTACAAAACCATACTTGTAATGTTCCTACATTTAACATGTTCTGTACATAAACATGCCGTCGCATTTGGAATCTTGACGCATGCTCAAAGTAACAGCCGCTATCAAATGGCTCGGTGATAAGAACGGTTAGTCACTCTCTAAATGTACTTTGAAGCACAATCAGCTCGCATTTTTGTGTCGATGTGTAATTAAAAAAAAAACGCATTTGTAGAATAAAAATTACATCACGACGGTGAAAACTTCTTTGAGCACTGATACTGCAAAATGAAAATACTTGTAGTTTCGTATTTTTTTGAGTAACTTTTGAACCATTTGGTGTGATCTTACTACAGTATTGCAGCACGATGGAACTCTTTCCGCCCCAATTTGGCAAACCTCAGAGCTATCCGGTTTGCAGTTAAGCAGAAAAGTCTAACTTTTAACACTAACCCTTCTATTCAATACGTAGTCTTCCCTTATTGCCCCACAAAAAAGGTGTCTTTGGGTGAATTCAATTCATTTTCATGGACGTTATACATCGAAGTTGACGAACAATCAATCCTCCGGGATAACAAACTATTCGGCCGCTAAGATTGCGCCGCCTGAAGTCATTTTTATCTGCCTCTAACGAAGCGTAATTACTTGAAGTACCTTTTACTATGAATATCTTTAATAATGCACCAACCTTTGCTTTTCTCTTGCTCACACTTCGCTAATTATAGACTAAAATTTGTACAAATTTTCTCAGGCTCGCATACAAGTCATCAAGCATTAATCGGTATACCTAATGATGGACCAGGTTTCATATCCATCTTCACAGATTCTACGCCGTTGAAAAGTAAATCACAATTAATTCTGTACGCAACGAAAATAAATCGTTATAATCAAAACAGCAAAAGATAAATGTTTGTAGATTTGAAACTGCTTAATTAAGAATGCTTGCAATTGCATAGACAGTGTTGATTGCAAGAAATTTCTTCGAATTAGTACATTAAGCTTGTTAGAATCTAGAGTAACATATCTAGAATTCTTCGCTCATTATTATTAAGCTATAGCTCGATATGTGATTGCGAACTGTTTTTCTATCTTAAACTGCTAAATATAGCAGTAGCATTTTCATAGCGAACTATTGATAACCGTTGTGATTTGACGTGAATGAAAATAATAAGAGAACAACAACAACAACGAACGCGTTCATCACTTCGAATCAACAGATAAGGCAGAGCATACGTAATCAATAGTTCCTAACATCAACAATGAAATGTAACACGACATGATAAAATAAGTGTCCTCCACCAAAGAGTAAGCATATTTACCCTGGCAAAGCACTGAGCATCGATTAAGAGTGTCGCACTAAGCAAAACATAGTTCATATATATATATTCGTAAATTTCAGAGCTCTAGGTGAGGTCTTAGTTAAATTTCTTCTCGCAACCTAGGAGGAGTGAATTGCCTCAATTTCTCTCTTTTTCTAGGTAAGTCAGTATTCAAATGTGTACAAAACGTGAAGGTTAGTTGAACCTCCTAAAAAGTTAGGAACTATATCCGAGCAATAATCCCTAATAATTAGTAAATGAAGAGCTTCCTAGAGATATCTCGTAAATATTTGTTGCGAACCTTGTTATTGTCAACGTCTGATATTTTAAAGAGATGTTCCTTTTATGTCAGTGACAAGTAACGCAGAAGTGCACTTGAGAATCAAAACATTCCGATTTTAGAATATTTGATATATATACTGATTTATAATTGTACTCGAGACGAGTTTAAACACTGTGGTAACATTTCGTAAAAGTATTTGTATTTTTGTTGATTAAAATATAGTTGATAACAAAGGACATTCAAAAAATGTTACAAGCAGTTTCAATATCGACAGAACCAGATGCACCTATGTTTACATTCATGGCTGGAAATGACATCTTTGAACAGATATAAGGAATCCAGAGATGAATGTAGTATCTACTTTGATGTAACATAATTAGTAATAACTCTATATCGCGCTCATTCAGATCTGTGTTCTAAGTTTTATAGTCAGTCAGCGTACGAATGTTAGCGACCAAAGATGTAGGCTACATTCTGCGGGGTCCCGTTATATTTATTTGTTGGATCAACCTCTCACTATTAAAACAAAAGCTGACCGTGTCGCCGTAAATATTATAAGCGATTTATGTCTTTGAACGAGTGTATTTTGACTGGTCAAAGCCCTACAGAGATGCCCTCTTTGTGATCGGGCAACTTACGATAAACGAAATAAACTGATCATATCGTGAGCCCATTCGGTTGTAAGCGTTTGACGTTTTTGGCCATTTCCGTCCCTCGATCAATAGATAGAAGTTAGTATGCTGCTAAAGGGCTGCAGCGCCAGTTACAATAACAGTCGACGATGCTGATAATGGTGAAAAATGATTAGAATTATTACACACTGCACACACAGACCGAAAGGCAAGAGTTAGATCAGGTTTGCTCAAAGATAGCTGAATAATTCGGATTGTAATTATTTGCTTATATCATATATAAGCTGATAATTTCATTTGATTACAAAAACGATAAAAATAGCGTCTAATCATTCGATTATAACGCTAGCTCTCAGCCAGTGCTATTTTTGTACAAACAGAGCCATGCAT